GGCGGCGGCGGCGGCGGCGGCGGCGGGGGGGGGGATGCGTTACCTTCCCCCGCCCTTTCGCGGGGGGTGGGGCGAGTCCGGACCTCCTGGTTCCTTGGGGGTGGGGGGGTTGGGGGTGGGGGTCCCTCGGTTTCTGAGGCACCCCCTTCTGATCTTTTTGGGGGGGGAGTTCCCCGGTTTTGGAGACCCCCCCTCATAGAGGTGCGGCCCGATGTTTGCACGGCAGGGTTGCGCATAATGGATTCGACCTCGACTCCGTGCCGATGCAGCCCGATCCGACGCGCTTGTCGATTCGATCCGATGTGACAGGTCGATGCTGACTGATGCTGCCCCCCCCTCCTCCTCCTCCTCCTCCTCCTCCTCCTCCTCCTCCTCCTCCTCTCCTCCTCCTCCTCCTCCTCCTCCTCCTCCTCCTCCTCCTCCTCCTCCTCCCTCCTCCTCCTCCTCCTCCTCCTCCTCCTCCTCCTCCTCCCCCCCTCGCTGCCATCGACGACTGACTGGAAAAGCCAGGGGGTGCGAATCCGGCCACGTTCCGCAGGAGCGCACCGCGCACCGGACGGGCCAGCTCCTCGTGGCCGCGAGGCTGGTGTTTGTCTTCTCGCACGGTCTGCTGGCCGTGTGCGTATCCGTCGCCATGGGCCTGGAGGTGACGCCGCGGTCCAAGGAGGAGGAGGAGGAGGAGGAGGAGGAGGAGGAGGAGGAGGAGGAGGAGGAGGAGGAGGGCTCTGGTCGCACGGTCTGCTGGCCGTGTGCGTATCCGTCGCCATGGGCCTGGAGGTGACGCCGCGGTCCACAATCCCACACAGCGGAGACAAGGGCTCCCACGAGGGCGCGAAGTTATTCGCGCTTCGCGGTCCTCGTTCCTTCGCCCCCTCCTCCTCGTCCTCCTCTTCTCCCTTTCGGGGAGCGGCGCGAGAGCGCGAAGTTATTCGCGCTTCGCGGAGCGCGAAGCGCGAAGTTGGGAGCCCTAGATCCCACACAGCGGAGAGGAGGGCTGGTCGAGACAACAGCGGCCCTCCTCGGCGTGTGTCGTCCTCTCTGGGGCCGCCTGGCGGCGTTCGTCGCCACGGCTCGGTCCGCCTCGAGACACAGGCCAGAGTGGACCTCAGGAGGAATCCAGAGGCCGACTTTGCGTGGATCTGGGCTGGGCGGGAGGGCTGCCGTTGTCCACGTGGGCCCAGTTGGCCCCTCCTCCGCAGACATCCGGCGCTTCGATCTTCTCGGTGCGTGGGCTTCCAGACCTCTCGACCTGCTCCCCTGGCATCGCTCGGACGTGTGCATGTTTTTCTCGGCGAGGACCATCGAGGAGCATCCTTGATCACTTGGCGAAAAAACCACGCACGAAACCGAACAAAAGCACAGGGAATAGACGTCCGAGCGATGGCAAGTTCCCCAGGGCCGGCGCGGAATCCCGAGCCGCGTCTCGACAGCCCTGAGGCCCGAGTCTGGCTTCCAGAGTTTGGATCGACATCGTGGCGGACCGGTCGCCTCGATGTGTCTGCATGTCCCAGGTCTTATTCGCTCGATTGCTTCGCACCGCTTTGGTTCCGATCGGCCTGACTCGATCGATGCTAACGCTGTCCATGTCGTCTCCCCTCCATCCGCGGGCATCGCACGCCAGCACGTTGCCTCAGCTCGGAGAAGCCTTAGGGGTGCACCTCTCTTCATCCTAGGCTTTCCTTTCTCACCCCCCCTCCCCAGGCCCCAGACGCCGTGTTTGTTTCATGATTTGGACCCCAGGGGTCTGGACCCCTTCCTGGGGACCAGCCTTCCATTTCGAGTCGTCGCTTCTGGCCCCGAGGCCCGGTCAGGGCCCCCAGGGGCCGAACATGGCAGAAAGGCTCCGCCGTGTTCTTCCACGGCCCGAGGGTGCGCGTGTGTCCCGCCTGCCCGAGGCCAAGACGTCCTGGTGGAGCCTCTTCGTGCCCGCCTGGCTGGGGGACGCCCTCTGCGCCCTGCTCGTCGTTGGGGCCTGGTTCGCCTCCTGCCCGTACGTGCAGCTGTGCCTCGGCGAGCATCAGGCCCACCCCGCCACCCACTCTCACCCTCCCTGCACCTGCACCTCCCCCCTCCACGCCTCCCCTGAGATCTGGGCGCTGCCACTGCTGCATGCCGGGCGTTTCCGCCCCGTTTCGGGCGGCGGGACCTTCGCAGATCGAGCCGGCTCGAAAGGTGCAGCAGAGAGATGGGGCCCAGGGTTCCGGTGGCGATTGTTCGCCATTACGGCAGGTTCGAGTCGTGTCGACTGGCGGCGACCCCGCCGACGGCGTTCAACGTTGAACGCCACTGGCGACCCAGAATCGGTCGATGTTGAATGATCGAACGTTGCGGGAACGACCGATCGTTCAAGGTTGAACGATCCCCGCGGTGTCAGAAGCCAACGCTGAAGTCGGCACGACACGAACCTGCCGTATGCTTTTTCCGCAGCGTCGGATCTGAGGGCCCGTTCGTCGCGGCAAGTAATGCCAACGAGCGGTTCTGGGCCGGTTTGGGCGCTGCGGGGGCCCTCGCCGGGCCCCGGGGCCGTCGGAAAATGGCTCGGGATGGGAAGCCGGTCCCAGGGAATGGGTCCAGATCTCCAGGGGACTGGTTGTGAAAAAGCGCGGGGGGGGTCTATGAGAGACCCCTATTGTGGACTCATTGTTGCGGTCGCTGCTGCGTAGTAGTGATTGCAGTCGTCGTAGTGCTAGAAGTGTGGTGGTAGCGGCGCTACAGGTCGTAGTAAGGTCGGTAAGGTGCTCGTAGTAGTGGTTAGTCGCGGCTGCGAATAAGTGGTGGTCTGTTCAGTGGTCAGTCGCGGTTGTGTATTAGTGGTAGTCTGTGTAGTGTTTAGCCGTGGTTGTGTAGGATTGCTTCTTTTTTTTACAATCCATTGTTTTTTGTTTTGTTTTTTTGTTTTTTGTTGCAATCCTTCGTGGTGGTCGCTTTAGTGGTTAGTCGTGATTGCTCATTAGTGGTAGTTTGGTCTCCAAGGAGGTTCAAGCTGGCGCGTGCAGTCGCGGCGCTCGCTGCCCCGAACTCCTTCGCCCCAAGGACGGTGCGTGGGGTGCTCCTCCTCCTCCTCATCCTCCCCCTCCTCCTCCTCCTCCTCCTCCTCCTCCTCCTCCTCCTCCTCCTCCTCGATCACTAGGCAATCTTGCCAACGCATCTTGCTCCAGCCAGCTTGTGAAGCGGCTTGGTAGTTTGTGTAGTGGTCAGTCGCTGTTGCGCAGTGGTGGTAATCCGTGTAGTTTGTAGTCGCGCCTGTGTAGCAGTGGTCGTCCGTGTAGTGGCTAGTCGTGTAGTGGTATTGGTGGTACTGGGAGCATTGGGACGGGTAACGCAAGTGCTGCCCTCCCCCTCCTCCTCCTCCTCCTCCTCCTCCTCCTCTCTCCTCCTCCTCCTCCTCCTCCTCCTCCTCCTCCTCCTCCTCCTCCTTGGGGAAGCACACGTCATGCCTACAGGCCCTCCGGTACGGGTGGGCGAGCCCTGCCCGCATCTTGGGCACTCCTTCCTTGGTGGCGACAACGGCAGCCGCGCCGCCCAGGGCTTTAGTTGCCCCCAAGGGCTTACATCTTCACGAGTGGGTGTGCGGGAGGGGCTCGAGGAGGGGAGGGGGGCGAGAAGGAGCGGAAGGGGGACTGTAATGACGCCCACTTTCTGCCCTCCACCTTATGAGCGGGATTCCTAAGGGGCCACGGGGATTCCGATTCCAAGGAGTTCCCAGGGATTCTTCATCCTAGGGGTTCCTAGGGGTTCCTAGGGGTTCCTTCGGATTCTGAGGAATTCCTACGAATTCTTTTGATTTTCAAGGGAATCCTTACTAAGGATTCCCAGGGATTTCCTTCGGGCCCCTTACCGATCCCGAGGGCTTCCCTTAGGATTCCTTGGAGGGTTCCAGGAATGCGTAGGGCTCCCTCGGGATTCCGATTCCAATAGGTTCCTAAGCATGATAACTCCTAGGGCCTAGGGGTTCCTGGGAAGCCCGACGGGGTCCTTAGGATTCATTCCTTTTGAATTCCCTCAGGATTCCCCAAGGAATCATTTAAGATTCCGCAGGGGCTCCTAGGTAGGCGGAGGAAGTGGTGAAGCAGAAGGGGGGAAAATGAGGGCGATGAGGAGACAGCTTCTCGGGGCCCTCTCGGGGCTCCCTGGTGGCTTTTCTGTAGGCCTCTTGGGGGGCCTCTTGGAGGCGCCCACGGGGTTTCCGGAGGCGGTCTTGGGAACCTCTCGGGGCATCTTGGGCCGTTTTAGGGAGGCAACTGGCCTATCTGACGACGGCGGCCTCTCTGACCGTTTCGACCCTCTTGGGGCGCTTGATGGCCGCTTTGGGACCCTCTTGGGGGCCTCTTGGCTCGGGGTGCTCTTGGGCCGACTCGGGGCCTTCATGGGGGGCCCTGGATTGTTTTGGAGTTACGTTGGAAGCCCCTTTGTGCCGACTTGGGCGGTCGGACACCCAAATTGGCGAGAACCTCAAAATCAAAAAAAAAATCGGCACCACTGATTTTGGTCTTCCCCGGGCTCTCCTGGAGGGCCTCTTGGGGCCCTCTTGGATCGTTTCGGGGGACTCGGGCAGTCTTCAGGCCGTCTTCAGAGCCGCCTGAGCCGCGCTGCGCCAGCTGGAGCGGTTTCAGCATTGTCTTGGTTGTCTGAGAGGCCGTCGCGGAGGCCATCTTGGCCGCTTGGAAACCGAAAAGGCCGCTGGAAAACAATTTCAGAGCAGCGATTTCTCGACCGCGCGTGGGCGAGGCGGAAAAGTCGGCCTGATGACCATGTTCTTTGTGGCGTAATTCATAATATATATATATATATATATATATATATATTATATATATATGTGCTATTTTGGAAAAACAGAACTCCACGACAACAGACGAGCATTCTAACCCGCCCACTCCGTGCAGGCACGGTGGCGGATATGCTGTGCAATCTACGTGGTGCACTCTACGTGGCGCAATTGTTTTTTTACTTCACGCGAATTGACAAGACCCATGCTATTGCAAACATCCCACCCACCCACCCGCAACTTGGTTTGCAAAAGCCAGGCGGCGGCGATTGCGATGAGTACTTGGCGTTGGCTGGTGCATTTGCGCGGCCGCGCTAGCCTGCGCATGCTCGCGCGCGCAGCGGCCGGCCAGTCTGGCGCGACCGACGCGGCCGCGGTGGCGCTGACGGCGGGGCGCTTCCCTTCGGGCACTTCCCCTCGAGTCAGTGGCTTGGGCAGGCGCGGTGCCGTGGCGACGCCGACAGCGGTGGACACGATTATGAGAGTAGCTACGATGGCGGCGATGGTGGCGACGACGACGGCAATGCCAACGACGGCGCCGATGTTGACCACGCCCGCCGACAACGATGAGGATGTCCTCGCGTCGGCGATGAAGGTTTTGAAAGAGTTCGACATGCGCGCGCGGCCGACGCGTGCGAGTGGCCCGCGTGGCCTTTTCCGACGCGAATGCGCCCCCACCGCCCCCCTCTCTCTCTCTTTCTCTTTGGATTGGATCAGATAAGCTGGATTGGATAAGAGAGCCCGCCGCAGGCGCCGAAAAAAATGGGTTATGAAATTAGCGAGATGCGTTAGCGCCGGGACGCCCGGGACACCCGGGACACCGCCCGGCCCAACTGGGACACCTCCCGGCCACTGGCGGACGGGAACGAACTATCGCTCCTACTGACACCCGGGACACCTGGGACACCGCCCGGCCCAACTGGGACACTTCCCAGCCACCGGCGGACGGGAACGGACTTTCGCTCCTACTTCGGCCTAGCTACAGGAGGATTACGCGCAGCTTCGCTTCGCCCGCACGCGCGACACGAACACGAAACCGAAACCGATTTCCCGGTGGGGGGTCTCCGTTTCACTGCGATCTCACCCCCCAACCTCCGACGAAAAGGTGAGCGGTTAAGTCCGGGGGAGTGGGGGAGATCTTTGTATTACAAGAATATCTACAGCGGCGACGAGGCGGCGACGGCGAGCACGGAGCCGCCAGACCGCGAACCAGGCCCAGACGACGGTCGGCGATGAAGCTGCGGCGGGGCGGCGACGGCGTGCACGGATCTGCCGGACCTCCATTGAGGCCCAGTTGTTCAGAGTGAAGGTAGCACCCCTTGAGTGCAAGCATTGTTTGGGGAGGAAGGAACTTAATGACCTGCGTCGTCGCCCCTCGGGCCCGCCCTCCTCTGGCCCTGCACCCATCCGAGCGCCAGGCCCGCCTGGGCGACGACAACCCGAGCATCCTCACCGACATCTTGCCAGACGTCGTCATGGCGGTCCTTGGGCTGCTCCTCCTGGCACTGGAGGTGGCCGCGGAGCTCATGCGTTGTAAATGATGATGATGATGATGATGATGATGATGATGATGATGATGATGATGATGATGATGATGATGATGATGATGATGATGATGATGATGATGATGATGATGATGATGATAGTGATAGTGATAGTGATGATGATGATGATGATGATGATGATGATGATGATGATGATGATGATGATGGTGATGATGATGATGGTGAAAACGATGACGGAGATAATGACACTGATGATGATGACGATTGTGATGCTGATGATGGTGACGAGGAGAATGATTAGGATGAGGATGGCGATTCATGATGATGATGATGATGAAGATGATGATTTCAATGGTAGCGATGATGACGACGACGTCTATGATGGTGATGATAAAGATGGTGTTGATGATGCTGATGGTCATGATGATGAGTATGATGATGCTGATGATAGTGATGATGACGATATTGTTGGTGATGAGATCGGTGTTGGTGATGTTGTTTGGTGTTGACTATGATGCTGATGGTGATGATGAAGATGATAATGAAGATGATGTTGATGATGGTGATGTTGATGCTGATACTGATAACGGCGATGGCGATGATGATGATGATGATGATGATGATGATGATGATGATGATGATGATGATGATGACGACAAGGGGGAGGGTGAGGATCAGGATGAGGAAGAGGATGACAATTAATGAGGATTGTGAAGATGATGATGCTGCTGATGATGAAGATGATGATGACGATGTTGTTGTTGAGGTTGATGATGCTGTTGCTGATGATGATGGTGTTGATGTTGATGCTGTTGGTGATGCTGATGGTGATGATGATGATGATGATGCTGATGACGAGGATGAGGATGAGGATAAGGATGACGATTCAGAATGACGATGATGAAGATGATGATGACGGCGATGATCATGATGATGGTGAGGATGATGAGAATGATGATGACAGTTGTAGTGATAGTGATGATGACGACGACGGCGATGATGGTAATGATGGTGATGGTGTGGATGATGGTGATGACGATGATCATGATGATGATGAACATGAGCATGAGTATGATGATGCTGACGATAGTGATCATGATGACGATGTTGTTGATGATGAGGTTGTTGTTGGTGATGTCGGTGATAATGCTGATGGTGGTAATGTTGATGTTGTTGGTGGTGACGATATTGATGATGATGATGTGTTTGTTGGTCATGCTGATGACAGTGATAATGATGATGGTGATGATGATGGTGATGATGATGATGGTGATGATGATGATGACGACAATGATGGTGGTGGTGGCGATGAAGATGAAGATGAATGGTGTGGGTGCACTGCTCTTGCTGAAGCTCTGGAGGTGGCCGCGGAGCTCCTGCTCTGCGCCTACCTGGAAAGAAGCAGGCGCGCCGAACCCCGGAGCCTGGTGCCGAGCGCCACGATGTTCATCGTGGTGTCCGTCCTCGCCTGCTGCAGGGGCATCTGCATCAGGACCCGCGCGGCAGGGCAGCTCCCGCCAAAGTTCCCCCGAAAGGGGGAGTCTAGGCGGGGGCTTTTCTCGTAGGCAGGTCCTGGATCGCCCAGGGGGGTTCCAGGACGGACCGACTCGCCCAGGGGGGTGTCGGTCCGAGCAGTCGAGTCGCCCAGGGGGGTGTCTCGGTTGCTCATCTGTTCTCGTACGAGCGGCTTGGCGGGGTAACTGTTCTGGCGAAGGGCTACACAAACGGGGGGGCACCGCTGTAGCGAATTGTGCCACCATGCAGGAGGGAGGGGAAAAAGCAGAGGACGCGGCCGAAAGAGAGGGCGGAGGGAGCGAGCCGCTCAAGGGGACGGGTTACGAAACGGCGGGGCAGCACACGCGTCTGGTGTCCCAAGTACCCATGCCCCCTTGAGTCATGAGGAGATCACGACGGGAGGTTTTTCAGTATTTTCGGCCCCCCTTGGGAGCTCTCACCGGGATCCGAGACCGTCAAGAATCGACTCAGGATGACACACCGTCCCCAGGGAATGGGTCGAGACCTCTCGGGGTCGACGTCATGGCAAAAGTCATGACGTCGGGGTTCTGGGTAGTAGGGCGACGAGTTCTATACGTATCCACTGCCCCGTGGCCAGGTCCATGAACCATGAGCAGTGCACAGGCCCTCCTGGCCTGGCCGGGGAGCCATGTGCACCACTCGTGGGCCCATGATGGGCCTGGCCATGGGGCAGTAAACATGTACCGATCTCGTTGCCCCAGCAGGTAGTCAGAGGCAGCAGTACGGGGGGTAGGCTCAGGCGGGGGATGCATCGACACCCAATCACCCACGGATCGCCAACAGGAGCCGGACAGCCCGACCCGCCCGGGAACGTGCGGATTCGCTGTCGAGGGCCTGTCGCCGATCTGTCTGCGATGTGTCGCCGATTGCCGGTCGATGTGTCCGCACGCCGTCCGTGTCTGCGGAGGGGACATGAAGGAGAGCTTGAATTCGCAGATGCAGAACAGTTTCGCGAACGCCTGAGTGCTGCCTTCGCCGTCGACGCGCCCGAGGGCGTATGGCTGTGCCTTTGCCTTTGCCTGGAGCAGACCCCCCCTTGTCCCTGCCCCTCAGCGATGGCCTTGCCTTCGCCCTTGCCTTGAGCCGGCCGCCCTTGTCGCTGTCGAGAGTCTACCGCCAATGCGTCGGCGATGTATCGCCGATTGCAGGTCGATGTTTTCTCACGCGAGCTGGCCCCCCTCGTCGTGGCCTCTTCGGACGGGAGGGTGCCTCTCACCCTCGACGGGGGGGTCTCGAGAAAGGCATTCTCCCCTTTTTTCCATGACAATGCCTCAATGAATCCAAAAAACACACGATGTCTGAATTTTTTCGGCGGCGTCATCATGGGTGGAAAATTCGAAACCGCTCGAGGCTGCCCGACACGGCAGCATCCTTGGCAAGACGTTGCAGCGAACGTTGGAAGCACTTGACAGACCTGGCACGCACCACCATATCAGGCAAGCGGCAAAACAGAGGAATCAAGCCATAAATTGACCGATGGAGCACTGGAGGACGGCCGGGTTGGAGAGGTTCGTGCAACGCCTTGATGTGCGAACGCGAATCCGATGAGAAGCCGTACCTTGCAAGTTGGCCTCTGGACGGCTCAGATAGAGGAGCCAACGGTGGCGGTGTTTCTTCATGAGCAGCCCTGGACCAGGCATAGCAACGTCAGACCAGACATGCAGTCAACCCGCAGAGTAGGGATGCGCGACATAAGGACGCGAGGCCCTCGGAAGCCCACCTCGAAGCGCTTCGAGCGGGGCGCGGCCGACGAAAGCGTCCAGGGATGGACCCAGGAGGCAAGGATGCAAGGGCACCCTTGGGAAGGCTGCCTCTCCCTACTCTGCGGGGCGGCTGCAGCAAGGCCAGGCCCCGAATCCCTCGGCGGGAGGCCGGCCCGGCGGAGAGGGCGGCGGAGCCGAGGCGGGCGGGGGCCAAGCCGCCCGCGGAGGGCCCGCGGAGGCTGGCGGAGGTGAGAGTTCCGCGAACCTTAGCACAGTCAGGGGGGGGAAAACACACACACAGACACAGAGCCCCGAATCATCAGGGGTAACTCGGGTCAGGGATAACTCGGGTTCCTTTTTCGGGAATCCAAACCCGAGTTACCCCGGACCCGAGTTACCCCGGATAACTCGGGCGCCCAACAGACACAGTTGATCGTCGACCCCCAGGAAAACAGGGGAAACTATGGGAGGTGGGGGGGAAGACGAAAGCCCAGAAAGCATGAGAGAAGATGGGGAATCCTGCAAGTTTGCGTCTGCTTGTTTGCGTGTGTCCCAGGGCCCCTTCGGACGAGTTGTCCCGCCCGCCCCGCGCCCCCAATGTTAAAGCTTCAGTTGCGCGCGCGGCGTGGTCCGCGGGCGCAAGTCGCGTGTTTCGGCATCAACACTGAAATGTTAGGGGTCTTGGGTTGCCGGTGCCGGCGCGGGAAAGACTTGCGTCAAGTTTCGCGGGGGGTGTACAGTGCCGTTTCTAATACATGCTCCGCGTGCGGATCATGTATTAAAAATGCAGGAAATTAGTATTAAAAGCAACGATGAGTTCATGCATGCATTTACCCATAGATTGATCCTGTATTAAAATTCCAATGTGTTTTTCCAAAAAAAACTATGTATTAAAAACTGCCCTGTGGGCCTCCCAGGTGGGGTCCGAGTAGATGGGTTCGGAGGATCGTGCCGCATCGCCGATGCATCGACGATGCTGCTCGATGTGGGGCCGTTGCTTCCCACACCGACGTCGCCGCTGCATCGCCAATGCGTCGCCGATGCATCACCGATGCATCGCCGATGCATCCGCGATGCGGTGCCATCCTCCGACCCCATCTACTCGGACCCCATTTAGGAGGCCTCTGGAGGAGCAAGAGGTCATGTCAATGATGCATCCAAGATTTTTGGGATTCCCATGATATCCTGGCGGTCACAGGAGCTGCAGAAGCAAGGGCCGCCTGATACTCTGCAAGGCTCGAAACGCATCCTGCGCCAATCTTATCGCGACGTCCTTCCCGTCCTTACAACATGCGCTCCGGACAAAAATAATTGTTTGTAGAGGCTCGCCCGCCACATGGGAACCCCAGCGGGAGGCCGTCGGCCTGGCGCTGGGGAGGGAAGATGTACCTCAAAGAGGACCTCTTGGTCCTCTCCCATGGGGAGCCCCCCCCAAAACTCATCGGGTGCCCCCCCCCCGACTTCACCGAAGCTACCGATCCTGCTACCTGGGGAGGGCTGTCCGAACTCCTGGGGCCCCCCAGCCTGACTGACTTCACCGGCGCTGCCAGGCTCTCTTCGCCACCCCCGGGGCCAGGAGGTCCCCTCCCCCGAGTCCCTCCACGAGGCCAGGCCCCGGAGCCCCCCTGGGGGGTCCTCGGAAAACCCGAGCGGAGCCATGCTCGACCGAGGACTGTGGAAAGCGAAGACACCGAGGCACCATACGGGCCGTCACGTTACCCCCCGTTGCCTCGAGCCTTCTGGACCCAGCGAGGGCGGGCGCCCCTCTTGCCCCTCGCGATGATATCTGGCACGCGCTCTGGGGCGGTGCTGCCATGCCCCTGCGGCGTGCACCTCGCCGGCAGCACGTCTGGCTCCGAGGAGCCCCACGAGGGACGGAACGTTGGCCCGACGCCGACAACACCGTAGCAAGACGCACCAGCGTGCTTGGCCGACGGGCTCGGCTGCCCTAAATGTTTGCCCTGGGGCCCCGGAGACCACGGCACTGCAGGACGCAGCGGGAGACAACTGGCAATCGGACATGTGTGGATCAACGGCCGCCGTTCTCTGGGGCGTGCCCGCGTCCTGGCTTATCGACGTTCCCGCCCACGGGACCCCGATCCCTGACATCCGCCGCTATGATTTTGTCCACTCCGCGGCCCCAGAGGTCCCGACCGCTTCCCCGGAGCCGATGTTTCGTCCCGGATCGGTTGCTGATGGTCCCAGGGCCCGGAAACGGCCTGTGGTGGCCGAAACCAAAAACCAAAATGCCCAGACTGTGAACGAACGTGTCGTCGGAGATCTGGTCCACATCTCACAATAGCGGGGGGCAGGTCAAAGAAGTGTTTGACAGCGCGTCTGGGACCCCCCCAAGAGCGGTGCAACAACGGATCCAGCACCGAGACCCCGAACAATCTTGTTTGATGAGGCCGGTTTGAACCCCCACAAAGATAGCCCCTGACGAGGAGGAGGAGGAGGAAGAGGAGGAGGAGGAGGAGGAGGAGGAGGAGGAGAGGGAGGAGGAGAAGGAGGAGGAGGAGGAGGAGGAGGAGGGGAGGAGGAGAGAGAAGAAGACGGAGGAAGGGGAGAAGGAGGAGGATGAGGAGGAGAGTAGGAGGAAGACGAGGAGGAGAGGAGGAGAAGGAAGAGGTGGAGGAGGAGGAGGAGGAGGAGAGGAGAGGAGAGAGGAAATAAAGAAGGAGGAGGAGGAAGAGGAGGAGGAGAGGGAGGAGGAGGAGAGAAAAGAGGAGGAGGAGGAGGAAGAAGAAGAAGAAGAGGAGGAGGAAGAGGGAGGAGGAGGAGGAGGAGGAGGAGGAGGAGGAGGAGAGAGAGAGAGACGAGAGAGTAAGAGAGAGGAAGAGATGAGGAGGAGGAGGAGTAGGAGGAGGAGGAGGAGGAGGAGGAGGAGGAGAGGGAGGAGGCGGAGGAGGAGGGGCCCTGGTGATCGCAGGCCGAGCACGGAGATCTTCAGCTGCGTGGGGGGCGCCGTGCTGCTCACCTCGCTGCTGGCGCTGGGCGTGACGGGCGGCCCGCTGGCGGGCAGCGGCTGGCTCCTGGTGCTGCCGTCCTTGGGTGGTGCGATCGGCCTACTTGTCAGCTCTCGCCGCAGGCCCTCCTCCTCCCTCCTCGTCTTCCTCGTCGTTTTCCTGCTCATCCTCATCATGTATCTCTTATGTCTCTCTCCTTCTATATATATATACATGTGTATATATATATAGTTTCCTCCTCATTATCCTCCTCCTCCTCCTTCACCTCCTCTTCCCTCTCTGCCTCTCCATCTCTGCCCCTCTCTCTCTCTCTCTCTCGCTCTCTCTCTCTCTCTCTCACTCTCTCTGCGCCTCTCTCTCCCTCCCTCTCTCTCTCTGTCCCTCTCTCTCTCTCGTTCTGTCTCAGTGTGTCTCTTTCTCTCTCTCTCTCTCTCTCTTTCTCTCTCTCACTCTCTCTCTCTCTCTCTTTCTCTCTCTCTGTCCTCATCCTCCTCATCATCATCAACATCCTCCTCATTGCCTCTGAGTGTCCCAGAGGGCTCGCGGCCGAGCGTGTAGCGTGCGGGAGGGAGATTCTGGCCCCTAGGGACGCTCGTTCCTCCTCCTCCTCCTCCTCCTCTTCCTCCTCCTCCTCTTCCTCCTCCTCCTCCTCCTCCTCCTCCTCCTCCATCTCCTCCCCCTCTTCATCCCCTCCTCCTCTACTCTCCCCTCCTCCTCCTCTCCTCCTCCTCCTCCTCCTCTCCTCCTCCTCTTCCTTCTCCTCCTCCTGTCCTCCTCCTCCTCCCCCTCCTCCTCCTCCTCCTCCCTCCTTCGCCTTCTCCTCCTCCTCATCCGTCTCTCCTCTCCTCCTCCTCCTCCTCCTCCTCCTCTTCCTCCCCTCCTCCTCCTCTCCTCCTCCTCCTCCTCCTCCCCCCTCCTCCTCCTCCTCCTCTCCTCCTCATCCTCCTCCTCCATTCTTTTTCCCTTGTCAAGAACTCCTCCCTGTCGCACTCCCAGACGTGTCGGTAAGACGTGCGGGGCGTTTCGCGTGAGGTTGCATCACCAGTGATGATGATGAACCTTGAAATGTGCAGCCGGTTCACGGCTGGATGGGGGAGTTCCAACATATGGTTTATCTTTTTGGCGGCGCGCACGTTCGTTACACAAGTGTGCAACAGCCTCACGGATGGAGAGCGGCTCGTTTCCACAACGTGATCAGTGCGCTAGCGCCTCGCACATTCGCATTAAACGTGTTGCAGCAATTTCAGGGAAGCATAGGTGTGTCAAGATGTGGCTCACGCCTCGTCTTAAAAGTGGGAGTAGATTCACGGATGGAGGGCGGTTCCTTCTCACAGTGGGGCTCGCGGCGTTTCGCCACGCAAATTCGTGATAAAGTCTTGCAACCGATTGAGGGATCGATAAATGGCCGTTTTCAAAATTAGGTTATCGTTTCAGCGCCGCGCGCAATCGTTTTTAAACGCAGCGCCTTCCAGGATTTAGGACTGCTCTTTTTCGTAAGCGAGTTCTCGCCTGAGACTGCGTTAAGGTTACATAGGTTCGCAGGTCGCGCTGCACGGGTTCACGGGGGGCCCGTTTGCAAATTGAGTTGCCGTTTGGAGTTTCCTCGAACGTCATGACAACAAGCGCAAACATGTGCAACAGTTTCACAGGTTGGAGGTGGAGCGGTCCTTGTTCGGAAGGGTGATATTGTTGGACATTTCGGTGGATTTTAAGACCAGTGTTTTCCGTACTGCGATAGCGCCAGAAAGACGCAAGGCAACTCTTGATTCAAAGCGGGTCTCCCACAAAGCGGCAGGCCACCTTGCGCTGGTCGTTCCAAGGCGTTTCTTACGGTGAGGAAGAGGACTTGCTGCGGCGTATGAGGAGGCGACTTTGGACGGGGGGGTGCATTGCAGAGTCGCATATGCATATTCGGTCTACTCTGAACCTCTTCCTCCTCCTCCTCCTCCTCCTCCTCCTCCTCCTCCTCCTCCTCCTCCTCCTCCTCCCTGCTCCTCCTGCCCCTCCTATCCACCGGTGGGGGAGGCCCGCCCCTCTGCAGTCGAGGGGCAGGCCGTGTCCTTGCCCCTCCTCTGCCGTGCCCGTCCTGGCGCACCGCGCGGCGGCGTCCAGTCAGCGTCGCGTCCTCCCCACTGTCCCCTCCCTCCTCCCGCCCTGGAGCGGCCTCGAGCAGGGGTGGTGCGATGCCTCCTTGGTGTGGGGAGTGGAGATATCTCGAGCGAGAGTGGGGGGGGGAGCCGCACCATCAGGAAGACCACCCTGGCTCCCTGCGCCAGTGGTGATGGTGGTGTCGCTCTGCTCTGCCCCTGTCTGAAAGGATCGGAGGAACGTAGAACTCGAGTTTGCCGAGACTCGAGCTTGCCGCCGTCTTCTGGCGGTCCTGGCGTGAACTTTGGCGGTTCAGTTTTCTCGGCGGCGAGCGAGGGGGGAAATGAGAAGGAGAAGGCTTTCTCAGAAGACGGCGGGAGTTCTCAGAAGCCCTCGCGCATTCGGAGTTTTTTTTGTATTCGGGGAAGGCTCGGAAAACTTCTCAGAAGGCCGAGGGACTTCCGAGCCTTCTGAGAAGGCCTTTTCCATCTCACTCCCCCCCCTCGCTCGCCGCCGATGTTCGTGAGGTGTTTGCAGTGGGAGTTCGCGTCGAATTTCAGACTACAGTCGAACCGAGGTGTAAGATCGAGGCTGGCTCGGGGAGGGCCCCCTGGTGTTCTTCGTGTCTGTCGGATGTCGTTGTGCAGCCTTTGGGGGGGGTACCCTCGGATGTTTTGCTCGGCTTGACCGGCGGAGGGCCTCCTGCTCTTGAGGGTTGTTACGATGGCCTTGGTTCGACTGCAGGACACGTCATTGCTCTGACGGACCTGTCAGACCCGGAGATCCGATGTCGTGACTTTTCAGTACGCGGTCCCCGGAAGTCTCGACCCATTCCCCAGGGCCGTGTCTTCATTCTGGGCCGTTTTGTTTGACTGTCCCGCAGGCCGGCGAGGGCCCTTCTAGGCCGAATGTTGCGGAAACCCTCCGTCTTGACTTTTGTCACTGCACTGGATCTCCGGGGACAGGTCCACGTCCCCACTGCTCGAGCCCTGCGCCTCCCCCGAGGAACGGGCGGCGCGAGGGGGGCGGCCGTGCAGGAGGGCGTGTGGGGGGCGTTTCGGACGGCGGGGGCATTCTCGGCCCCCCCCCCCCCTCCCAGCTTCAAGGGAGCCTTCTCAGACGCCCCCCCCCTCCCCCCCCCCAGACCCCGTCGAGTCATGAAGAAGTCACGACGGGAGGTTTTTCGCGGTTTTCGGCTTCCAAGGGCCCTCGCCGGGCCCCGGGACCGTCAAAAAACAACTCGGGATGAAAAACCGGTCCCAGGGAATGGGTCGAGACCTTTGGGCCTCGACGTCATGAAAACATCATGACGTCGGGGGTCTGGGAAGAGGGCCAACGCCTCGGAAGGCTCCTCAGAAGGCCCCCGCCTCAGCTTCTTGCAAGGCCGCCCAGAGGGGTCTGAGAAGGCTTCCAAGGAGCCGCGGGGAGATACGGTAGGTTCGAGTCGTGTCGACCGACGGCGACCCCGCCGCCGGCGTTCAACGTGGAACGCCGCCGGCGACCCAGAATCGGTCAATGCTGAAGGATCTGACATTCTGGAAACGGCCGATCGTGCAAGGTTGAACGGTCCCCGCGGTGTCAAGAACCAACACCGAAGGTCGGCACGACAAGACCGTGCCGTACAGTCGAGGATCCGATTTAGAAACTTTCTCCCGCACAGTTGGGCCAACTTGTCTTGACGAAAGGCTGGCCCAGTTTCCTGAGCACGTCCGCCTTCCAGCGTTAACAGCAAATTGGCTCAGGTACGCTTTCAATCAATTCCGAGAAGCTGGCCACAATTTCTTAAACTATATGTTTCTGGATTCTAACTTCGGCTGTACAAGACAAGGCCCCGCCTTCTAAGGGGCCCTCCCCGTCTTCCTGCACGGGCCGCCGCCCTCGGCGACGCGCCCACCCCTCGCCAGGGGCTTTTTTCGGCCCACGCCCGTCGATCTGGGAGACGCGCATCCTGGAGATCTCGGGCACCGCTGTGTATGTGGGCAATGGGAAGCTTCGCCCAGTGCCGAAGCGTCCTGGCCTGACGACATGCCCATCAGACAATGTTATAATAACCTGTTGTGGTCTGCGCGAAATGTTCTTAGAACAATTCTGGCTGAGGCTGTCTTGTTTTCAGACATCAGGGTTATGTGATAAGATTTTGCTGCGCTCTTGGAACATTCTTGGGTTCTGAGAAGATGTCGTGGTAGGCTTACAGGAATGCCAGGACGGCTGGTCCCTGCCCAAGAGCTGGATACACATGGGGCATTCAAAAAATGGTCTCACGTTCGAGGATCGAAGAAATGGATGTCTCTTCGTCGCCGGAAGGCGGCTGAAGGAGCACGAGGCCGCCTCCGCCTGCGGAAGCCAGCAGAAGTTCGGCCGAAGATGGCGGAAGTAAAAGTCGGCCTCCCAAGAGACGGCAAGATGCGCTGGGTGCAGGGTTTCCAGAACCCGCCATCTGGCGTGGCTGGCCTGGGCGAGAGTTGGATACACGTGGCCACACGTCTTTCCAGCGCCTGACCCACGAGTGGCTGGGCACGCTGGGCCGCCACGCGTGTATACAGCGCGCGGCTTCCACGCGTTCCACGTGTGAGTCTGGCCAGGCATGCCTCCAGCTTCCTGGTTCGTCCCAGCCCTCCGAGGGCAGACGAGAAGGCTCCGCGCGATCCTCGGGGGCACGCGGGCGACGCAACATCATAGCATCGCTGGAGCTGACAGTAGCACGTAGGCTGCCCGCGCGAGTCTGCGCGCGAGCACCCGCCTCCTCCTCCTCCTCCTCCTTTCCCCTTCTCCTCCTCCGTCTCCCGGCTGCCGATGATGCCCGACAGCGCAGGCTGTTGGCGGCCAGGGCCGTGCTGGCCAGGGAGGAGATGCTCCTGAGGGCCGCGGAGCAGGCGGTGCTCGCCGCGGTGGCGGCCGCCCTGGCGGCGCTGGCGGTGCTGCTCCAGCCGGGGGGCGGTGGCTGACAGACCCTGGGGGCGGGGTCAGAGGAGGAAAAGGTGCTGATATTCGAGGCCTCCCGGGTGGGGTCCGAGCAGATGGGGTCGGAGGATGGCACCGCATCGCCGATGCATCGGCGATGCGGCTCGATGTGGAGCCTGAGTTTCTCCGCGCCGGCGTCGCCGATGCACCGCCGATGCATCGGCGATGTGGCGCGATCCTCCGACCCCATCTACTCCGACCCCACCTGGGATGCCTCGAGATGCCTCTTTCCGTTGTGTTGGGCCTCGAGGGAGGCCCTCTTCGCCACGGCTGGGATTCGCTTCGAAACGCTGGTCGGAAGGGTCCCCGCGAAGGGGGGGGGGGCAGACTTCCGACGGCACGAGTGTCTTCGTCGTCGTCGTCCTCCTCCTCGTCGTCGTCGTCTGCCGCAGGCGCCCCGGGGCCATCAGAAACAACTCCTGGACGGAGAGCTATCCCCCAGGGAAGCGGTCTGGATCTTTGCGGCCGCGGATTAAAAACATCAGACCCGTGGATGTCATGGGAGGGGGGAGGGAAAACAAGGGCACATCCGCTCCCCTCTCCTCCTCCTCCTCCTCCTCCTCCTCCTCCTCCTCCTCCTCCTCCTCCTCCTCCTCTTCCTCCTGCTCCTGCTCCTCCTCTTCCTCCCCCTCGTCCTCAATTCCTTGTCCTTACAAATGATTTCTCCCCGTATCACCCTGAGGCCAGTTTTTAGGGCGGGCCGGGCGGTTCGCCGAAAACTTCCTCACCATGTGGCAACAGTTTTACAGATGGAGGGCGGGCCGTTTTCAAAATGCGACTCTCGTATTAGCGCCGCGCACATTGGTTTTCAAAAATTGCACGAGTCAGGATTATAAGGGTGCAACAGATACGTTGATTCGCGGTGTTGGAGTCCCAGGAATGGCGTTCTGGCACGATTCAGGATCGACAAAACGCAACAGTCAGGTTGATCAGTGGCGTTGGAATCCCGAGAACAATGTTTTGGCATGCCTCAGGGTCTTCAAACGGTTGTCCTCCAACGAGGCAGTTCCCGCAATGGAAATGAACCGTTGCAAGGGCCTATGAAGAGGGAGCTTGGAGGGAAGGTTTCTTCCAGCATCGTTGATGACTCTTGGGCTTACACTGGTCCCGCCTCCTCCGCCTCCTCCTCCTCGTTTTCCCCTCCTCCTCGTCCGCCTCCTCCTCCTTCTCCTCCTCCTCCTCCTCCTCGTCCTCCTCCTCCTCCTCCTCCTCCCTTCCCTCGTCCTTGCCTCGACGGCCCCGCCCACGGACTTCCCGGCACTATTGCTCTGACGGGGAGAGGTCCACGCAGCGCCGCGGGAGCAGCGGGTGCCTTCAAGGAGGGGGCCCGTGGCCGTCAGGACTCCGGAATCGCGGAAGGCGGTGCTGCTCATGATGTCTCGGCCTGGGCCGAGCCGTCGCAACAGCGGGCAGCGCACAGACGGCACGGGCCTGGGCCGCATCGCCGTGAAGATCGGCAGAGGCACGTCAGTCAGTGGCCCCGTCCAGCTGATTGCTCCCTCCCCGTCTCCTCCTTCTCCATTCTCCACCACCCCACCTTCCCTCTTCACTCCGAGCCTTTGGATGCGGCGGGCCGCCTCCATGGCGGGGGAGGGTGGTGCACGAGGTGGCCATGGCTTATGGCGTTGCCCTCCTCCGGTGCGACCACCAGACAGCGTCGGTGGATGGTGCTCGGCGGTCCCTGCGTGGTCCTCTCGGCGCCGCGCGCGCAGCGTGAGGCCGAGCAGGCTCGGAGCAGAGGCCGCATCACGGACCGTTGGAAGTTGTCGCAGGTGCACACCGCCCTCGGCCCGTCCAGCCACGCCTCCGACGTCGTGGGGGTACAGCGGGACTTCTAGGCCGACATCTGGGACGGGGCCGAAGAGCCCGCATGTCTTGAAGGGCTTCGTGGTGAGCTCGATCGTCTGCGGGATGTTGGGCCCAGAATGCCACCCATGGGAATAGCTGTGCTCCGACGGGCTTCCAAGAGTTTCCCGACTAGGACTGCTGTGGGGGCCGACGTGTTCAGGCCTCGGCATTGGGGTTTATCAAGTCACTCGTCGCTGTCTTTGATGGGCTACGTCTCTTACCTGTGTGAGCAATGGTCTCTTTGGCCCAGCCCCATACAGTTTATCCACATCGTTCTCCTTGGGAAGCCCACAGGGGGTTACAGGCCCATCGCGTTGCTCGTGTCGTTGTACCGCGTCTGGGCCAAGGCTCGCATCGGGTATGTTCGTCAGTGGGCATCGACCCTCGGGAGAGATTCTTGGGCTTACGCCACACCGCCGACCCCTTGATGTACATTGTCCCCCCTCTTGCAGCCGTCTTTGGAGCCTCTTGAAGGTGTCCTGGTATGTCTGTCAGGGGCCTTCTCGGAGCACTCTTGAAGTCTCTTGGGAGCCTTTTGGGCCGTCTGGGGCGGCTCTTGGGCCGTCTTTGGGCCCTCTCTGGCCGTCTTGGGGCCGTCTTGGGGGACTATTGGGCCGTCTTGGGGCGGTTTTGGGAGCTTCTTGGGCCGTCTTGGAGCGTCGGAAAGCCGAAAGGGCGAGAAGGCCCCCTTCCTTCAAAAACCAATGGAAAATCAACGATTTTGGCTTCTTGGGCCGCTCCCAAGAGGCCTCTTGGGGACCTCTTGGGCCGTCTTGGAGGCCTCTTGGGCTGTCTTGGGCACACCTTGGGCGTCTCCGAGCGCTCGTTTGGCGTTTCGAGGCGCTCGTGGGCGGTCTTGGAGGCCTCTTGGGGCATTCCTGGGCGGTCTGTAGCCCCTCTTGGGACCGAAAGAGCCCCATGACGCGCTCGTGGTCGACCCCCCCCCCCCTCCAAATCGACCGGACCAGGCTCCCGGGGGAGGGGTTTGGGGAGGGGGAAAGCATCTCACACGCCGATGATCCCCAAGGGGTCGGCGGATTATATCGCTTTAGGCTCTGGCAAATGCACGACAGACGTGGCCGCACGTGTACTGCTGCAGGGGGAAAGCCAGAGCAAGTGTCCCACGTTGCCAGACGACACCGTGGTACTTCATGCGATAGTTGATGTGGAAAAGGCTTTCGACTGAGCTTGTTGGAAGTTGATCGTTGCATCAGGCATACGACAGGGTTTCCCTGGTAAGTTGTTGTGTCTAGCATTACAGATGTACAGAGCGAGTCGCAGACTCGGGTGGGAAGGAGCCTACTCGAATCCTGTGTGGGCGACGCGAGGAATTCTGCCAGGATGCAGCCTGGCCATGTTCATCTTGCAACTCGTCCTCCTCACCCCCATTGACTCCCTGCTGTCCGTCACTTGTCATGTGAATCGTACGTTGCACTTGTATGCAGATGACATTACGGTCCAGGTCGTTTCCACGGTCGGGGACATTGTCGAGCATGCGTGTGATGTTTTCTCGGAGCTAGCGTCCACTCTAGAATGTATCGAGCTCCGAGCAGCCAAGAGAAAAATGACCGCCACCAGCTCTGACCTGAAGTTTGCCAGGCTAGTATGTCGTCGCATCGGTGTTCTAGGTTATAGGGCCGTTGACGCCCTCGAGGTCCTTGGAGTGGAGGTGGCTTCTGGGAGGCAGATTCGCTACGCTCGTCTCAAGATTCGAATCGAGAAGATGAAAGTTCGTCAGGATCGATTTCGGCGCATGCGAAAGGCAGGTCCTCTCTTGGGTGAATTCGTCAAGCAGGCGAGACCAGCAGCTCTAACCTACGGGGTTGGAGTTCATGGGGCTCCTCCTTCACTAGTACATACATGTTATGCGTCGTGCCCTCAGGGGCGCATGGCTCGAGCCTGGGAAGCAGGGCTCGGCATGGATATTTACGTTTCTCCAGGGCAGTGGCACCCAAGACCCTCGAGTTTCAGCATGGCCTGATACCATATTCCAGTGGGCACTTCTCTGTTGGGACGGCTCCCTGCATGGTGTGCTCCAGAGGGCGTGGGCTAGACAGTTCGTGATTATCTACAGCGAGGCCAAACCTTGGGGGCATGTGGCAGGGCCCTGTGGGGATGTTATTAGCTATTCGAGACTTGGGATGGGTGTCTCGGTCCGCTTTCGAATTGCAAACCGATCGAGGAGACAAACTCGATCTGCGCACGTGGTCTCCATTATCCGTGCGCGATTTGGCCCGAGAAGCTGCTGAACGGCGGCTTTGGTTTGATTGGTCACGACGCCCAGACCGCGACCACGGCGCAGACTTAGATCCGAAGTCTCCCGCGGGATAGCGGCTGGCACTTGTCGCGAGCGTCTTGGGGGGGGCGCTGGAGGAAGAAGATCTTGACAAGCCTTGCGTTTTATCGCGGCAGCAAGCAGCGGCGCTACGAGCACTAGTGTCTGGAGGACTTCGGCCACCGCCACGACGGGCGAAGCATGGTTTTGCGACAGCGCGGTTTGCCCGTGCTGCTCTGCGCCGCATGATGATCTTTTCCATATTCCATGGGCCTGCACATCCAATGAGGAAGGGCGCAGACATGTATCTGGCAGCGCTGAAGAACAGGCGTGTCTTCCTGAGGTTTCTTCAGATTCATGGTTTTGGGCTCGAGGTTTGTTCGCTAAGACCGTGATGCCATCACCTCCTCCACGTGATGATAGTGAAATTTCGCGAGCTCTGTATGGAGATGCAAGTGCTGTGACAGGCGACCGGAAGTATTCTTACTGGCCAGAGGATGCACGAGCTGGCTGGGGATTTGCGCAGATCCGAAGCAATCCTATCGAGACCGTGGTTTACGGACCGCTGCCAGGGCCGATACAGACATCGCCAAGAGCGGAGCTGTTTGCAGTGGTTCAGATACTACGCGTGGCTATTCCTCCGCTCAGGATTCTCACTGATTATCTTGATCTGCCACAAGGCCTTGACCGAGGGCCTGCTTGGGGATGTCATCCTCGGCGGCCTAATGCAGATTTGTGGTGTGAGATATGGCCACGTATCGAGGATCTTGGAGGCCTTTGGGAATCCCTTCAAATCGTTCACGTCTCTGGTCATCAGAAAGGTCAGGGATGCGAAGCTCGGGGAAACAGGTGG